CTTGGCGCAGAAAATTTCTTTGGAGCAGAGGATCCTCATATGGTGGACGATGATCCAGACACTCCACTTCCAGATCTTCAAAGACCAGGCGCAGGTGATCCTGAGTACAAGCATACCATTGAAAGTTTGAACATTGAGGACAAACATATCATTTTGGAAACTGATGATGACAAATTGGTTGAGTGTACATTGAAATGGATCAGTATGTGCAATCAGAATGTTCAACGAAAGATCAAGGAAAGTTTTGTCAAACCAGAAGAAGGACAAGAGAAAGAAAAGGATGAAGAAGAGAAGATTGCTGACGAAGAAAAAGAAGAAGAAGAAGACACACAGGAGCCACATGTCCCAGCTGAAGGCTCTTCAGAGAAAGAGGAATCAGCTCCACCTGAACGCTCCTCAGAAAAGGAGGAATCAGGGGAGAAGAAGACAGACATTCAAGATGATGAGACAGCTCCTGAAGTGAAACCTGCAGTTCGACTTTACTATGGTCAAGATATCACTGGAAACGAAGATGATTCAGTTTTTCGAAGATTGAAGGATTGTTTTTCAGATGGTTACCATGGTGAATGGGCAGGATTTTACAACAAAGGTTATCCAGCGTCTTCGAAGCATCGACATATGTTTTGGCATGTTAAGTACAGGAAGACCATGTCTCCACATCATGATTTTTGGTACCATCTTACAGATGACCAGTTGATGGTTGAGTACATTGCCAGACACAAGAATCAGGATCCACAACTAGAATTACAAGAACTTAATCAGCGCATTGAATATGGTTGTAGTGATCCAAGGATGCATCCTCTTCATCAAGACAAAGCAGAAAGATCCTCAAAAGAAGCAGAAAAGAGGATTGATGACGATTTTGGAAATCTCACAAGGGTACTCCAAGATTACGTTGAGGACCACAAGGTCTTGCCTTACTGTATGATCTTGCATAGCTTGGCTTACAGGTATTTAGGTGGAGGCCTATCAGACCCAACGTACAAGGATGCTGAATTTCCATACAGATCCTCTCCACAGATAACAGCAATGTTTTGGAATTTGGGAAACTGGTGCAGAAACAGATTTGAAAAATGCCCGGTTCCAGAAAGATTTCAACAATTCATTCCACACATTGACTACACTATCGATGAGGATCATGAAAAATTTGATGAAACCAAATCACAGTTCAACAATTACTTCATCAATGTCATCAAGAACTTTGGAGGACATCTTTTCATGAATTGCGAGGCTGGTTCGTTGTATCCTCACAGAGAAAGACTCGACGAGGTTGACTTTAAAACTTGCTTCAATGACTATCATGACTTGATGGTGGCAGCTCGCCTTGGAAAGGATGGCTATATCAAGCAAATTGCTGGATATCACACAGATGACAACGACACACGAGTTCGACAAGTCTCATGGGCAATCTTTGAAGTATCTTGGGGAAAGACAAAGGATCGAGATACAGATGAGATTGTTGACTTGACAAGAGCTAGGATGAGAATGACACGTGTGTGCGTTTATCACGTCGGACAGAAGTATGCATCAGACTCTGCTGGGATTGTTGGTGAGTGCTTAGCTGTTATGGCTTTTGAGTGTGCCAGATATCAAGTTGACTTCATCGCAGGTGATGGAAACAAGGCATGCTATTACAGCACACCAAAATCTCCAGGTGTCCCTACATATCAACACAGCCTTATCCAATTCTGGATTAACAGAATGGTAGGTGTTGCAACACAAGCCATGCGCAAGAATTTTGATCCAACTTGCCCTCCAATCAGGGTCAAGCATTTCATTTCTTGCAGTTATCGTGACTTGGATTTTCTTGCAACGCACTTGGATGGCATTACAACAGCAACATACACCGACGAGCTCATGAACAAGACAAATGGTAAAGGTGATTGTTGTATGTTAACAGTTGTTGAGTGGGGTCATTCACGTTTGATGTGTGAGGAACACCCAGAAGACTTTGAGGATGAAGATCACATGAACTATGTGGGTGAATTTTACTTCAAGGTAAATGAAACTTGCTTACATGGTGATCACAACATCTTCATGGTTGCTCCAAATGATCGCGATGCTCATAATCCAATTCTTATCCATCTTGATCCTTCTGATATGTCATGGAATGAACGACATCATTACAAACAGGCCTACAAGAAGAAGCAGTATGCTGATTCAAGAAAGGAAAGACAGAAGGAGAAAAAGAGAAAGGCATATGAAGATCAAGCATCGACGTATCAGGGCAACACAGAGTGGGGTGGATCCTCATCTTCAGCGTCCAGACCATGGAGATCAAGTGAGTGGCGATGAGTGAGTGTACACTTCTTTAATTGAAGATAACACAGCATGAGAAGCCGTGTACAGTTTTTCTGTGCGTTCAACTTATTTCACACAGATGGCATATACTCTTTTAGATAGAGATAATGCCACAAGTGTCTGAACTTCAATTTAATGTAAAATAGAGACTCTTGTAAATAGAGATACTATATACATTTATCTCCATGAATCATCCGGCGAGCAGACCACTCCGAATGGAGCGAACTTCAAAAATTTACCAACTTCGATTTCAGTCCATTGTTTGCTTGAATGAGCAACTTTGGAGATCCGCTATTTCCGTTTATTTCGTGATTTGGTCAATTGTTTTCGTATGACCTGAATTTCTGAATCTTGCGAACCCGAACTTTTCAATTCGAACTTTCACCGGTAGAGCGAGGCATTTTGCCTGTGGAGAGACCGTGCGCGAAGCACCATTGGTCGCTACTGGAAAAATTAGCGAATCCGCTGTTCTTTTTCGACATGTCCTTAGGACATTCGCTGCTTTCACGTGTTTTTCAATTCGAAGCCACTGCGTAACTCCGGTTTCTTTTGCTATTTGCCATTGTGTAGAGAAGTCAGGAAGATACTCTTAATACCAATTGGGTACGGCAAGGCGTAGTGCTCTACTCATTGCTTTTGAATTTGTGCCTGTGTTTTTGTTTCGACCTAATACCTACATAGGTACATGCATGAGTATTGAGCACATTTATATGCGCCCTTCAAGGCTCAAGAGGTATATAGAGTAACCCTGTAGACAAGCACTGACCGGCAACAGGCTGAGAGTAAAAGAGTGCTGTCATTGGGGAAGACGCCTTAGCTGATCTTGAAGTAGACGCTAGGGCCCCTCTTCAGCCCTCCCCCCAATCCCCCCTCCCGTTTTTTTTTAAAATTTAAACTTAAACCCAAGTTACATTAGTTGGTTTTTGCGAACTAACCTTCTCTGGAAAGCTGACAGGATTACATGTGATAGATAGATAGATAGATAGATAGACAGATAGATAGATAGATAGATAGATAGCTGGATAGATAGATAGCTTGGTAGATAGATAGCTCGATAGATAGATAGCCAGCTAGATAGATAGATAGTTAGAGAGATAGATAGCTAGATACCTGGATAGATAGATGGCTAGATAGATAGCTAGATAGATAGATAGCTAGATAGATAGCTAGCTAGATAGATAAAGAGGTAGCTAGATAGATAGCTAGCTAGATAGATAAAGAGGTAGCTAGATAGATAGCTAGATAGATAGATAGATAGATAGCTAAATAGATAGGCAGATAGTTAGCCAGATAGATAGATAGCTAGATAGATAGCTCGTTAGCTAGATAGCTGGATAGACAGCTGGATGGCTAAATAGATAGATAGCTAGATAGATAGAAAGCTAGATAACTAGATAGCTAGATAGCTAGTTAGCTAGATAGCTCGATAGCTAGATAGCTGGATAGACAGCTGGATGGCTAGATAGATAGATAGCTAGATAGATAGAAAGCTAGATAGCTAGATAGCTAGATAGATAGTTAGCTAGATAGCTAGATAGGTAGATAGATAGCTAGCAAGATAGCTAGCTAGATAGGTAGATAGATAGATAGATAGATAACTTGCTAGATAGATAGCTAGCTTGCTAGATAGATAGCTAGCTTGCTAGATAGATAGCTAGCTAGCTGGATAGATAGCTAGCGCCCTCCCTCAATCCCCCCCACCCGCTTTTTATCTAATCCCAAGCTTCTGCATCTGTAAATATTTGGGTGAACATGCTCCATGTAGAACATCCCATGCAAAATGGAAGGTGAACATGCCAAAATGTGGCAAATACCATACAAAATGGAAGGTGAACATGCCCACATGTAGGAAATCCCATGCAAAATGGAAGGTGAACATGCCAAAATGTGGCAAATACCATACAAAATGGAAGGTGAACATGCCCACATATAGTAAATCCCATGCAAAATGGAAGGTGAACATGCCCAAATGTGGCAAATACCATGCAAAATGACAAATTCAAGTTCCAAACCGTTGCAAACACTAGGCAAATGGTACCAGCCAAGAAATCCAAAAAAAAATCCCAAACCTGCTGAAAAAAAATTTCCTAAAACTATTTCACACCCGTGGTATATTCTTGAGGGTTCTCATCACCCATCAACCCTATCTTGGAGCCACGAGCCGCAGGTTACCAGTTCGTGAAGCAGAAGGGTCCTTACGAGGGTCAAGATGAAGCTTGGCAGCTGGATGGTGATATCAAGTGACCACCCATTTGGGAATGGTTTATACCACCTATAAAAATGGTGATTTGGGAGATGGTTATTATTGTTTTACCCACATTAATGCAGTAGTAATGCATGGATTGCATGGCTTGGGGAGCAAGAAGATTCTCGTTTGGTCTAGGACCAGACCTAAGACCTAGGAGCCTTCAGTCTTTTGTGGTGGTTGATGTACAAAGACGTGGGACTGCATTCAATAACACCATAAAGATTATAAAGATAGCCAATCCGCTGCCGAGTTGACGAGGGCTGTATATCCACCTTATCTCCTTGCTGTGTTCAACCATGTCCAACCAATAATCTTGAGGGGCCGGCCATGTTTGGAAGGATCTCAAATCGTTTTGTGCTGCCGCCAGATTCATTTGCCAACCACCAAGTATTGGCTTGTCAGCTGTAGCTGTGTCTAGCGCGGTTGGCTGGGCGGGGAAGCCCGTGCGGCAATGGGAAGTGGTGGCTCTGTTGCCGTAGCTGAACAAGCAGCGTGGCAGATCGACGGTTGGTGGAGCGGAAACCATGGTACTGGAGCGGAAACCATGGTACTCGCTGTATTTGACAGAGCATGTCTCTGGGAAGGGACCCCATCTGAAGCCCGTATTCACAGCCATGGGTGATAGTCCCGAGTGAGATTTAGCCTGTGACATTTCTATGGATTTGCACCGTTCTGACCGCTGGTATCCGCTATTCACCCTGAGCCTCCAGGTAAACAAATGCTCCACAGAGGATTTGCAACAAATCCTCCCACATCTCAGCGATGACAGCCGCGTCAAGCTTTTAGAGGCAGATGGGTTGGGTGAGGCTCAAATTTGTGAAGAGGTGGCCGGTTCCATCAAGGGATTTGGTAATGTGTAAATGTTTCATGGAGGATAGAAAATGGTAGCAGCGAGGCTTACCGAAAACTAGGTAGGTATCGCCATTTTCAGAGCCAACAGCCTCTAGCCATATTGGGGGATGCAATGTCACCGAACAGCCCCTGACCATTGATGATACCCGAGTGATCGCCATTGGACAGACGGGCAGACAAACAAGCAGGCAGACACAGGCAGATACAGAGGCAGATTAAGGTATAGATAATAGATAGACAGATTAATTAATTAGATTGATTAGATTATATAGATGCGATTATTTAGATCAATTAGATTAGATTAAATTAGATTAAATTAGAGTAGATTAGATAGGATAGATAGATAGATAGATAGATAGATAGGTAGGTAGGTAGGTAGATAGGTAGATAGGTAGATAGGTAGATAGGTAGATAGGTAGATAGGTAGATAGGTAGATAGGTAGATAGGTAGATAGGTAGATAGGTAGATAGGTAGAGTAGATGGATAGAGTAGATAGATAGAGTAGATAGAGTAGATAGATAGAGAGTAGATAGATAGAGAGTAGATAGACAGAGTAGATAGAGTAGATAGACATACAGACAGACAGACAGATCAACTTGTTCGTTGGTCAGTCAGCTAGATGGATTTTGTTCGACAGGCCGGTAGTCACATAGATTGCAGGTCATATCCCTGTTCCTCGGGAAATTCCTCCAAGTGTCAACTATATAAGAGCAGGTAATGTAGCTGCTGTAGCTGCATGGCCTCCAGGGCTGATTTCTCCGTCCCCATGTCCCTTTACACTTGAGGTGCTGGGATCCGAGAAGAATGTGGAGAAGAAAACAGACTCTTGGCCAAAATGCCCGGCTTGCGCTGACTTAAAAGTGTCCCTTTCACACTGGTTGAGTCCTGGGTCACGAACGAGGCTCATCAAACTTTGAACATTGTATATTATCTAAAGTTTGAGACAACTACTTCTATACCAACCCAAAGTTCCCAATGGAACCCCAGACCAACTTGGTCCGAGGTAATCGAAGAAGAAGTGGTTCCTGCAGGTGGCGTGAGCCCTGCCACGATCCTGACCTCCTTTTGGCGCAAGAAGTTGGGACAGGAAGGCGGGATTTCATCTTCCCACATCTATGACCCCTTGGAATATCCATGTGTCATTTAGATATTCATGGATTTTAAACGTTTTTTCTTCCATCATTTTTGGCCCTTAGACTACCATTTTCTGCCCCTTTTTTTGCTCCTTTCGGGTCCCCTGTAACATGCCCTTGGGACCTTGGGACTTTGGGACCTTGGGAGCTTGGCAGGTTCCACGAGCATTCCCATCGTGAAGGCTGCAGATCTGGGGGTGATCTCTAGGAGCGCCAAGAAGTTCGAGGGCAAAGGGGGCCATGACCCATGGTTTGGACCCACTGCCTTCACCGTCTTTGGCGAGAGGTGCGTTTTTTTTGTGACTGCTGGAGAGGATGCTCACTAGATGGTACATGATGGTATTGGAAGTTGACGCGAAAAAATCACGACCACGTGGTTTCTTGGATGTTTAATTCAATTTCAGTTGCTGACCTGCATTTGGAACGAAATTCTTCCCAAGGAAACGTGTGGGAAACGAATTCATGCCCTTTGTTCGTGCGGGATTCACAACAGAGAAATCATATGAATGGAGATAGTCAAGCATAGCGCAACTGTCCATGACATGTAGGAATTCTAATCAGCTTTTATTATATGCTACAAACCAGACATCAGTGGACGCGACCCTGGTCAGCCCGGTCGGAAGAGATGGACTGCCCCGCCGGCGGGCCGACACCCACCCCGGCGCCACCGTCCAAGAAGCCGCGCGACGCAAACGCACCCAGACCTACCCGGAATTCTACAACTCCCCGAGGTGCCGCTTTGCCGTCTTTGGCCTTGAAATCGGTGGCCGGTCGTCCACCGAGGCGGTCACCTTGATTCGCCAGCTGGCCCTCGCCAAGGCCCGAAACACCCCCCGCTGGGCGCGCCAACAGGCGGCACGAACCTGGAGCTCGCGCTGGGCCAGCCTTGCGGCCGTCGCAGCTGCCCGCGCTCACGCCGCCAGCCTCCTGGAGTTACCCCTCCACGGAGAAGAGGCGATGGACGG